CGTCTCGTTTCCCGAAGAAGCTGTGGCGAAGTTGCTAAAGGAGAGGACGGGGTCGAGGAAGGGTCAGGAAGCTGATCAACTCCCTTCAGCAAATCCGAAGTGGCTCCGTCCGCTCGAGCGGCAGTATGCTCTGCGGCCTCACGGCCGGTCATGGATCGCCTTTTCGTGCTACCGTGCGATTTGAACCTCTTCAAGCCAGGCGAATGCAGTACTTCCGGCAATTCCGGAGGCAGGAGGGCTCTTGACTGTACCTGCGCCTGGAAATCTGCTATTAGACGGTCATTCTGTAAGCGAAAGAGTCTCGAGAACTCCTCTGCCTGCTGTCCGCCGAGGCTCCCCTGTACTTGAACGACCTCCAATCCCGATTGAAGAACCATGTTCCGCTCTGGTCACTGCCAGCAAGGTACGCGACCGCCTGCGAGTGAATTGTATCCATCACGGTAGAGGTACCCGAAATACTCGAAAGCTGCCGGACATCGTCACAGAGGGAGGGGACCGAAAGAAGGAGCTTACGTACACCAAGGCCAAGGAGTGTCCTTATAGTCTTTATGTCTCCTACCAAACTATCCGGAGCGGCCGCGGAGGGATAGAAGAGCGAAAAGGCTGGGTGGTCGGTTTCACTTACGCGTACCATACGCATCCGCCACTTCAAAATCCCTTCCACTACGCCTGCCATAGATCCCGTATCCCAGAGCGGGCTGCGGCAGTCGATCTGGCCCTCGCGCATCGGACTGCCGGCCTGTCAGCAACTGAATCAACCCGGATTCTCGACCAACACGGCTTAGGCAACTGTCTTTCTGCAAAGGAGTTCTACAACCTGAGCCGGTCTGAAGGAGACGCAGCAGTCAAGAAGCGCTTGACGTCTTGCTCACTTGTTTGGAGTTCGAGGACTTCCGTGTTCGTTGCTTCTTCAAATACCTTCTTGACGACCAAGGACGACGGACAGCGCGAGTACTCGAGCACCTGTTCTTCTGTTCTTCCGAGCAGATCCGCCTGGGTAGAAGATTCGTCAGCGGATTCCTCATGCAAACCGATGCGACGTTCAACACCAATTGCCTCCACCTGCCTTTATCTGTCATAGTGGGAATCACAAACACAGGCAAGACATTTCCTCTGGCTTTCGCCTTTATAACATATGAATCAGCTGAAGCCTTCGAATTTGTGAATGCTCAATTGGCAGAACTGGTCTGGTACGATTGCCCACCACCTCAAGTCGTTCTCGGGGATCAAACCAAAGGCTCGCTGCCGCGATGGCGGCGTCCCAAGCGAGCTGATCCTCAGGGTGAAGATGGGCAAATATTGCAGCTCTGTGAATGGCATGCCGCAGAGAACTTCAAGAAGCGATTGTTAGACTCGGGCAAATATACGAAGGAACGAAGGGAAGAGCTACTTCGGTTCGTTTGGGATTACATACAAGCTCCCGATGAGGCGCGACTTGAAGAACGGCGAGGCGAGCTGCTCGCAGAAATTCGGGAGCCGGAACGCCTTTATCTCAAGAATAATTGGCAACCGAAAGAGCGCCAATTTGTCCGAGCACACACACGACAGTACCCGAACCTCGGATGTAACAGCACGCAGAGGAACGAAAGCTACCATGTCGTGGTCAAACAGTCTCTCAACAGGCAGCTTCCCCTGCAGGCATCCTGTCAAAAACTGGCCGAAAGCTTGAAGAAATTAACTCAAAAAATCACTGAAGACGAGGATCGGAGCAGGGCAGACGTCCCAAGGCTGTTGGACCGAGCTGCTTTCCGCCTTCTTATCGGGAAGGTTCCACACTATGTTCTGAGCAAGCTAGCTCCGGAGTGGGAGGCAGCAAAAGCTCTAAGATGGAGGCAAAACACTGAGCTCGAGAAGGAGCGTAAGGTGTTGGGCCTTCTCAACGAACCTGGATGACCCTTCGCGTGTGAGTTCCCACTCAGATACGGCCTGCCCTGTCGACACTGGCTGTACGAGGCTGTTGTCAGGTCCTGGCCTGTCCCACTCAATGTCCTTCATCCACGCTGGTTACTCGACGGACCTGCGGTGGTACGCAGCTGGACCATGTCTTATGCAAAGCAGCCAGCTCCGAGGTCACAAAAATCCAGGGATCGTTACCAAGATGGCGGTATGGGTGAATGCATAGTTTTGGAACCAGTGAAGGGCTTCCTCGGGGCTGTTCACTTCGTCACCGGTAACAGGAGCGCGGAGATGCTCTTGCGGTAGGACTTCTACAGCTTTGTCGAAGCCGGAGCGGACATCATCGGGGAGGCTGTCGCGGTACTGGATCTCCATCGCGTTCGCGTTCGCGTCGGACGAGATGCTGGATCTCCATTGAACCTGAACAACGCGATTCTTATTGCGACGCGCACCTAGCAAGGGCGATGAACGATTATTCCCGTTCAGGTTGTAGTCAAGGCGCGATGGCTTTTAACCCATGCTTAGCGCGATAATCCCTGCAATATGTCTGCCCGAACCTGTCTGTCCGGAGCCATCCCGCTATCCCTCGGCTCTATCGCCCTTAAAACACCTCTCGGAAGGATCATATTCCATATCCTCAAGACCCTACTCCCTTCCGCCTCTCTCTCGCTGATATGGATCGCCTAGGCATCTATTTCAACAACCTTACAGACACTATTGTCGGACGAACAACCCTCCCGGTTATCCGCAAATGGGGACATCCTTGGTTCCTCCTACCTAAGACCAACGAGGCCGCTATCGCATTCCTCACGGAGAGCGAGATCCGCACTCTTCATCGTCGATTCGGGCACCCAGCGGTCCCAAGACTTCACAACCTCCTACGGCAAGCTGGCCACAACGATGTGACGATAGATATCCTAGAGAACAAGAGTTCGGGGCGATAGTGCCCGAAGCCAGTCGCGAAATTTTTCGCCGTCTCGTGTTTCGATGCACTCTGCAGAGGCGCAGTCTGCTCTTCGGCAAATCCGCGCTGCAGTAAAGCAGGTCTCAGGCAGCTCGATAGCATTTCGTCGGCTCGCCGCAGTCTGGTACGGAAGGGCTGTGGCTGTTTCTGGTACTTCAACTTGATAAGTTTGTTCACGGTCACGACGGGAGCTTTTGGTCGCGACGTGCGCTGGACGAGCGTATGAGCTTCGTCGAGAGCTTTAAGGCGCGCAGCAAAGGCCGTCCGACGCCCTTCGAGGAGTAGAGGAACGGGCGGTATTCCCGCCTCCCTGTGCAGCACGTTCGTCGGTGTCGTCCTCCACACTGGCAAAATAGCCCGAAGAGACGTGTAGAGTGCCTTGCTCATCTTCTTGACGAGTTTGCCAATCCCCGACGGCCCCTCCTTGGAAGGCTTCGTCCAGCGCGGGCTTTTCGGACCAGGGTACCAGGCCTCCGCCGCGTACAGTAGCACGGGGATGACGCAAGCGCAGACGGCTCGTCGCATAGCACTCGGCAGAGGACCATATTTGATGTTCGTCAGTCTCCTAAGATGAAAGGCAACAGCTTGTGCCTTGGCCGTCCATTTCTCGACGTGTGTCTTGAAAGAGAGAGCTGTCGAGCCAAACGCCGAGCCAACGCATCGCTCGATCCGGCCGTTTCACAAACTCGTGGAGCACCGGCGGCGCCGTCTTGGGCTTCGTTCGAGAGAAGTGCATCACTTCTGTCTTGTCGGGGTCGAAAGAGATCCCAGAGATCCCGTTAGCGGCGCCCCACGAAAGAAGCTCACGTACATGGTGAGATGCTTCGGCGGACGTTTCATCAAGGCTATCACCGACGCACAGAATGGCAGTGTCGTCCGCGTAATGCGTCTCCGCAGTATCGGCGAGCCGCCGTGCGATCGTCGCCTCTATAATCTTGCCCACCGTATTGGGCGCCAGCTGCCTTATGCAGAATATAGCTTCAAAATACTAAGGTGTCGCTCTCTTATGCATCTGCCGATATTTCGGACAATTGAATGCTGCCGCTTGGTGAGGGAAATGTATGCATCAAACAAGGGAGTAGAGAACCTTGGTTTCTTAGTAAAACAGTGTGAGATGAAGGTACCGAGGTTTTCCGTTTCAGCGTCCTTTTCCCGGTCAGTGGCCCCCGTCCCTGAGGATCGGGGACGGGGATTTGGCCGACTTTTAGGCCCTCCTAGTACCCTCCCTACTCGTGCAGACCTCCCACGAACAGAAACTGTCCACCGACCAATGCAACCCGCACCGTACTGCAACAACACAATGCTTGCGTCACAACAAGCCTCAGTTTCGCGCAAAGAACGGCTCCTGCGAGTCGTCAGGGCCTATCGACAGATCCAATTCGAAAGTATCCGAAAGGACGCGATTGCACACTTTACGACATCCTTCCATCCACAATACACGATCGACCGCGCGGTGTATTACCAGTATTACCTTGACGCGACACGCAGATGAACAGCCAGAGGTGACAGGCATCGAAAGAGACGTCTCTTATACAACAAGATCTTGTCATGAACGCCGCCTACAGTACAGTAGCTTACACTCGCCGGATGTTCTTCTCGTGGTGTCCGGCGTCATGAGCTGCGGTGCGCGCTCATTGGGTTGGCGATGTGCGGTTGTGACCGTTGTGTCAGATGCCTCCACTAGGAGGTGCATACGTATGTAGGGGCACTTCGCGCCTAGTCTTACAAGTCTTTCAATGAAGCGCTTCTGGGCAAGTAGGGAGGGACGGTCGGGGTTTTGGGTTTTCCTCCGACATTTCAACACTCTCTAAGGGAGGGCGAGAGACTTGTCGTTTTATCTGTACACATCCTTCTTGATTAAACACATCCTCATATAGACTAGGGGCAAACCTGATATCAACAGGGGCATAGATACCTGATCTGAGACGCAGCCCTCCCCTCATTTCCTAGCCCTCCCTTAGGCATGGATCACGTGGTCTTGTGTATCCGGCCACCTTACCTTTCGTCTTCAAGGCCCTCCAAATACCTCATAGTACCAGAGACATCTACCGGCCTGTCTCAGCCCAAATATCTTGGCGACGCTCGAGACGCTGTTGTGTTCCGCACGTACTCTACCGTGAGTCCAACATAATCTGCAAGAATGCCAGCCACAGACAGTCTCCGTGAGTTGAGGATCTTTTGTTCCCAGTCCTACCCTTTCCTCCACCAAACAATAAGGACACCATAGAGCTAATATTTGAGCTTCAGAGCCTCCTCTGAGCAAAGCCGAGCGTGAAGTCTGCAAATCATACGGCGGCTGGACCAATTTTATGCAGTCTATGGGCCTCAAGCCGTGGGAGGATGATGACGCCGCTGAGGGCAAGGCCATCCTAGCGGCATTTGTTGCGAAAGACAAAGAATCTGCCGACAAAATAAACAAGACTAATGGCGGTGCTGGCGGGCGTTGATAGGGAGTCACGGTAGATGGCGAACCGACCTTCTGATTTCATCACACGCTGCATACTGTGCCTTGAGGAACGAATGGTTCTTCCTTCCGCATCTTTTCCCGGCGATCCTCCACCACCCCCTTCAGGTATTGGCTCCCAAATCGTTCTACCAAGCGTTTACGGACGAGAGGACGTTGCCGATTTCCCACCGCGTCTTCTGCTACAGGAAGTCCCCGCCTTGCGAGCTCTCAATCATGTGGTGGAGGGGTCATTTCGCCCTCCCTGCTGCGGGTGACCAGGACTATCCAGAAGTGTGAGTGACGCTTGCCTTTCGCCGCATGAGGGCGTCGGAGTTGACGTGTGCCGCGACGGTCTTCGCGACACCTACTGCTCTTTCGAGCAGCATTCGAAGCACCCTAAAGCAAAGGCACGAAGAGGCGCTACCTAAGTAATAGCGTATTGCTCGCCCTGCGGCGTTTCGCGTGACCGTTGTTTTGTCTGCTTCGAACTTAGCGCCGCTCCGCCTCTCCCCCTCGACCGCGTCGTCGATGATCGCTAGGAGCCCTCGTGGTACGACGTGCGCAAGACGGTAAAGACTCGGATGACAGGGGTGCGGACACCGACCTAGTCGTCGGCGATGACCCCGTCGACGGCGTCGTGCCCGGCGGCTCCGTCGATGAAGCCGCCAGGAACTACAAGAAGGCCAAGGTTAACCTCCTCGGGGGCGGCGTCCCACTACTCGGTCGAGGTCCCCAGCGCGACGACAGGACGAGGAAGAAGGGGACGAGATGAACTACATGACCCTCCAGCGCCCCGCAGGGCCGACGAGCGCACAAAGGTGATGACGTGCGAGGAATACGTCATCTATTCCGGGTACCGCCAGACCTCCTTCACCTGGCACAATGGCAAGCGCTTCCGCGAGTGGGCCCCCTCCGGTGAGGGCAAGATCCCAATCGAGCCTCCCCCACATCCAGGAGGCCTTTCGTAGGTTCCAACACAGGCCCAGGAAGATGCGGCACACGCCTCTCAACATCATCTGAGTCGCTCGCCCGGCTGGTTCCCAATATGCCCTCTCGTTGGGCATCGTGGGATCCCCTTTTCTTTCTTTGTACCTGCGCTACGGTTCTTCTACTTGGATAGGGTTGCTAGGGCAAACAGCTGGAGAAGGGTGGAGAGAATACTGGCAGTTTGAGGTGCTTTTCTGGGGAGCATTTTGAAGTACTTTGGCCTTCATGCTTGGTTCAGTTTGGAGGCATCCACGCTGGCTGGATTGAGATGATGTGGGTGCCGATGATACCGGCCGAAGGGTAAGCGTCGGCAGTGTCGATGGCCCAGATGCCCGTGCCCTTGCCCTTGCCCACGTTAGAACCTTTGAGCATGATCAAGAAGTGGTGCACTATGTCCAGACCAGAGAAAGTTAGCTCTAAATAAAGACAGCTTTTGACTCTCAAGCCTGCCAAGGGCAACAACACTCCAGAGTCCAAGAACCCGCCGTCTGATCGAAGAACTGTCTGCCGTTGGGAAGACGACATTCGTCATATTTCGCCGGGTTCCAAATCGGAACCATATCTTCTGACCAAACGTTGCAACACCTCTGTCCGCACTTGCTTGTGCGACAATCCTGCAAATAACGGGCGGTATGCAATTTTGTCATGGGCAATGGGCACAGATGAAGGCAAGTCCATTGGAGAGTCAGGTACTCCGCGGCCCAGCCGGCGACAGAACCGGCCTGCTGCATCAAAGAACCCGAAAACTGCGGGCCGCCGCCTTTTTTCCTCCGAGGTCTTTGCCCAGCCCAATTCGACATATTTATTTCGAAGCTCGTAAGGAATCATCAAGCTGCGGGGTGATTTCGGTTTCGGTTTCGTGTCGACGGCGGCGGACAAGCCTGCGTCACCTAGGGTTCCTGAAGCCGTGTTTGCTCGGTGGAGAGAATCATCGGTTAGGCAAGGAAGCGAATCGTGGGTACCTTTTGAGCCAATGTTTTTGCCTGTGGTCGCAGCGGTGACAGATACAGGCGCCACAAACCCATGCAGGCGGCTTCGTGTACCCAGGTAAATTGGCTCATCGTCCGTTTCTAGCATGTTTAGATGTAGGGCGTTTTTGTCTTGCTTGGCTACGCAGACAAAATGTTGAAGGTTGCCATGGCGAACGGGGCATCTTGAGGCAGCAGCTCGATTGTGGCGCTGTGGCCGAGATAGCGTCAAAGTATTCCAAAGTATAGCTAGGGGGACGGACAGGAGACCGGCCCCTTCCAGGGCCCGCCAATGCCTTGAGGAACGGAACTGGAGTTGGGCCGGGGTTGCAGGAGAAGGCATGTCTGAGGTTACCACTAAATTGGCCGCCTACGTTACTCTCTAAGGCGGCCCGCCGAGGGCCCGCCAAGAGGTAAATTTATCTAAGCATGTACAGCACACTCTCTCTACCTTACTCAACCCTTCATGAACCTTGAAGCGAATATATCATCAGAGTAATCTCTCACGCTGCTTCTACGTATCGCTGCCTTGAATCGTATGCCCGTCTCGTTTCTAAAGCCAGTTCCTTGAGTCTCTGCATTCCATCAATTATAGCCTGATCAAGCCTGTTGCCGATGAAATCCTGGGGTCGTATGGGACTGAGAAGCTTGATACCTTGAAGCGTTGTACACCTGGATAGTTGTACATAGAGACTGGTAAAATCGCATTTGGAAGGCTCACCGTTTATTACGCGATTTCCTCGCAGCTCCAAGAGTACTTCCAGGAATGTTTTCCCTTGGGCCTTGTAGTCAGTAAGGACAAATGCCGGTGCAACGGGTAATCCGCGTCGCGTACATCTCGCCGACAAGAACCTGAAATGGGAATTGGTCGGGTCGAGGGTCTGTGACATGGGCCGGATGAGTACTGTTCCCGGTGGGAGGGCAGGGATAGCCAAGTTGTCTGTCTCTTTGACTGAAGTAGTATACCTAACGGTGGTCCGAAGTGGACAGTGACGTCGTCTGCAAGGTGGTAGCCTGGGTATCTAGGGTCGGGGATGACGTCCGCAGCGGCAAACTCTGCTCCATTCACCACCTTTAGACCAATATAGATGTTCTTGTTCACAACGACAGGCATGCCTTGCGCGTAGAAAAGGGCTCCGGGAACTTTGCAGCTAGAGTTATCCCCTTGTTCGATGGTCCGGGCGATCAGCTCTCGAGACAGCGTGCCACTTCGCCAGGTGTGGGCCGAGTCGCCGAGATGAAGACGGATATATGCCTCTTGTTGAAGCGTGCCCAGTCCACGACGGCTTCCATGTTGAGGCTCCACCGGTTCCGATTCAGAGGTGTTATGGCTCGCAAGCCACTATGGAATGTAATTTGGGAGCGGTCAAGTAGTTTCGTGTTGAGCAGGACAAGGTCTTGCTGTGTCTGCATCCCGGCACGCACCCTATCCAGAAGCGCGCCAAGCTGAGGATCGTCTCGTATACGGACTTGCTCTTCCAGAAGGACAACGGTCTTGAACATGTGCCACAGGCTACAGCCGCGGTGGTGAGAGATGGTCGATTGTCGCAAGGGGGCGTGGGCCTCATCCAGCATTCTGTCGACCAAAAGGCTGGTCTCTCTCACGGGGGCGAACTGGTGGAAATCCCCCATCAGCAGAATAACAGGTATGCTGCCAAACGGTTTGTCCAAGCAGTCGCGGAGCGACTGGAGGTGGCGGCTGACGTCGTATAAGGTGGTTCCTCCGAGCATGCTGACCTCGTCGATCACGAGCACCAACTTTGTTTCAGGCCCATTTCTTGGCTTCCGAGAATGGTGGCGGCGGCTTGTTTGGGGAGCGATGGGCATCCAACCCGCAGGCCGAATGGATCGTCGTCCCGCCGATCCGGGCTGCCGCACTGCCAGATGTGCCGGTGACTTGGAGAAGGTGCGGTTGACCTCTCGCCGCGAATATGTCCCTGAGGGCATCGACAATTCTTGACTTTCCCGTACCACCTGGGCCGCCGGTGTATTGAAGATGTTGACCCGCTGAATCCGGATCGGTAGTGTACCTATCCAAAAACCCACAAACGAGTTGAAGAGCCATGGTCTGCAGATAGTTGAGAGTATAGCTGGTGGCGGCAATGTGGCCCATCTCCACAAAGCCAGTTGCCGGATTGATGTCGAGGAACATTCGAGGGCCCTGTGCGACTACGTCTTGACCATGACCCGGAAAGGAGATCTCCACATCACAGTGGGAAACAAGCATATCGTCTACGTCGGCGCTTCTCGGGGGAAGTGTGACACCCTGGAAACCGCTTTCAATCTCATCCAGCTGTTGAAGATGCAGCATGCCCTGGGCCTTTGCCGCGGCCTGAACATCCTCACCAGACAGGGTCGGATATTGGCGGAGGACTATCCTGGTTGCGGCGAATTTGCTCGTAGATACCTTCGTGGCGTTGGACCAAAGGCCGTCCCTCCTCAAGCGGGTTCTCTTGGCACAGGTCCCGGATCAGGTCCCGGAGGACGTGGGAATCCCTCGTAGCATGAGAGTCTCGTACGGCATTCTGCAGAACCTGGAGCAGAGCTGTATAGTTTTGGTGACACTTGGCCATTGTTGCAGGCTCCTCACCATTGTCACCTTCATGAAGTGGGAACTCGACGTCCACTGTGTCGTCACCCTCCGACCGGCTGGCCCAGAGCTTTGCGTCTTTACGTGCATCCTCGGCTGACCTTCTCAGAAGGCATATATTGGAGACACGGAAACGGAGGCGGGGACAAGGGCTGCTTCGCAGTTCGACCATATGTCGGTGATGTCACCGTGACTCATGGAGAGGAAGTCTTCCCAAGGGATGAATAAGGCTAGATGGAGTACGGAATTGCTAAGTAGAACGTCAGAGCTGGCCCGCAGCAAGCAGCGTGGATCCAGAGCGTACCGCTTAATATATACCGGGTGCTCGTCTTCGTGATCGTCGCTAATGAAACCTTGAAAGATTGGCACGGCGTACTCGTGAGGTCGTCGAAGCTTTTGGATCCAATCGTCACATGTGGGAGGGCCCGTCGAGAGATATGTGAGATTCATCCTCAGCTCGATCTCTCCGACGCACTAAGCTAATCATGGACATATAGTCATATAGGCACAAGTCTCTCAAAACAGAACCTCTGTACGCGTAGGCATCCAAGTACAATAGAGTTCGTCCGCCTTCCCTGAGGGGAATCGTTTCGGGAGGCTCCTCCGCGTCTGCAAGTTCGCCGGCCTGGCGCCGAAGGAGTCTCCACCGCCGAAAGGTTGCCCAATATAGTGCGGTCAGGTTAAGGAAGGACCAATGTGGCACATTGGTAAAATCAGTGTGGTAGCCGAGAAGGTGGTAACATACCTCTACAGCCGAAAGCTGGCGTTCAGAGAAAATACGATTTGCTGTTCTCATCAGGAATTGACGACTCTCGTTCAGCACGGCCTGTCGCCGGCCGTCGTGGGCGGCATGGTCCGAGACTTGGTGTCTGAGCGCAGCAGATTCGCGAAGCTGTCGCACGACGTCGGCAGCGAGGGCAATTCGTTTCCACATCGGCGTATCCAGTTTAGTGGCGTAATTTGTGATGTAAAATACCATGGCCAGGCCCTTGGTCCTTGTCAAGATCATGGAGATGTCGTGGTTATGGCGGAGGCCCACCGCCAGTGATTTGTTATACCGGTTAACGAGCGGGTGGTTGCGCCGGATCCTGAGCAGGCCGTCCTCCACGAATCCCGTCTCGTCAACGATTTTCCAAGGCGCCTTGAATCGACAGGCCGTCCTTCTGGGCTTATCCGCACCCTGTTCGGTTAGTTGTTTTAGAGAATACTTGATGCAGGTGTAGGTATGGGAATGAACCTGGCAGCAGTACGCAATGTAGTTGGACTCGGATTCGAAGGCCGCAGTAAGAGCTTCCGTGCTGTTCATCATTCTTTCGACTGCATGGATTGGCTTCCTCTCCTGGCGGATGAGTCTTCCAGCATCCTCATCTAAGCACTCATGAAAGACTGAGTCTAGATACCGAATCACTCGGGCACGGTACGCTTCTTCTCTAGGGTTGGCCATGTCATGCATTAGGGACGGCAGTTGCATGTTGCCGTCCAACCAGAGAAGTCCATGTAAGTGCAGACTGCCTCGTTCATTGGTTTCCACCGTTGCATAGTAATGGCTGACCTTGCCAAAAACCGATTCTTGACCTGTCCTGACGAATTTGTCGAAGAACAGGGATATTTCTCGGTGGAAGAAAATGGCGGCGCTGACTGGGTCCATAGTGCTAAGGGCGATTCTCTCGTATCTCCCCTGAAGATCGGATAGGAGGTCCTTTGCCTTGTCGTAATCGTGGAGCCTGTGAATGGAAAGCCTCATCTTCACCGGGTTATTGATGTCGTTGGGGTTGATGGTAATCCAAACCGCAGGCATGCCGGTCCAAACGATAAGTGCTTGTATCTTCCTCCGCATAAGAAGTCGACTTTCGTTCGAGAGCGGCTGCGCATGGCCGAAGATTGACAGCTCACGAAGCAAGAATGATATGTCGGGGTCAGTCGTAGTCCTTGTATCTCGCATCTCAGCCTCGGCCCTTGTCGGGCGGTCGGTCGTCAGGCTTCTGTAAACCCGTTCAAGTCTCTCAAAGAGCCCTTTGCCACGCGAACCATGCTGATACGGCGGTTGGAGGATCGGAGGAGGATGTTGAAGACCAAGAAACAGAAGACGGGATGTGTGGCGAATCGGCCCCCATGCCGTTGCAGTACGTATCTAGTCAAGTAATTCAGCGAGTGATTTGAATGGTGCTTAAAAGGGTCAGGGTCATTCTGTATATTATGGTCCAGCTCTCGTATTGCCCTTGGGCCGCCCTTACCCCAGGGAAAAGCTTCGGAAAAGTTCGAGGAAGAAGTCTTCGTGAAAGTTGTCCGCTCCGCACCACGCTCCACCCGGATGAATGGCTGTTCTCGTGTTGTCTGGACCCGCATAGCGCATGGCTCAGCGTCGTAGCCACCTCGATTCGGACTCGCCTTCATAACGTCGGCAAAGAATGACAGTTTGTCCACGTCTCCAAAAGCAGCCGGTCCATCAAGGGGAAACATGCCGGAAGATGATGTCTCATAGACGGCATCGCCGTTGCCATCGGCAGGCTCTGGGGCAAGAATTGGAATACTGGATCCGCCAGGTGGGGGACGATGCCGCTCCGTCGACGTGGTTCCTTTTGTACGGTAGGGTTCATCAGTGGGGCCAGGATGAGGGTATATAGAGGTAAGAAGATCCTCGATGCTTGTGAACCGGTTATCCTCCAAGCCTCGATCAGTATCTGGAACTATGTGGTCCGTCTGCGTCTTCTCAACAGTCGACGGCTCCTCAGAGGTAGAACCGTAGCCACTAGGTGCTCCACCTTATTTGGAAACACGACAATATGACCCTTTACGTGTTTGCGGTAATTGATTCCCGACGGGGTCTTGCTATCAACATTGAACTTTGTGATGAGGCCGAAAGGGGCCTGGAGAGCAATCAGCCTTTCTTCCAGAGGGGAGAGGCCGTCGAGCTCTACGGGGTACCGATGCTCGCACCCAGTGTACATGTTATTGACAGAACATGCCTTGGGCAGTTTTCCATTTCCGAAGCAGGAGCGGCACTCGTGGCAAACATTAACTCCAGCGTTGTTACTCAGTGGGAGGCATTTCTTGCAGTCCTGAAGAGGCTTCGTGGCCTGCATCAACGAGGGCGTGAAATACCTTCTCCACTGAAGAGCAGCGAGTTCGCATGGTGGGCACTTGGTATAGCAAAAGGTGCAATGTGAAATTGGTAATGTCTGTTCATCTGTAAACGCCTGGTAGAACGACTTGGAAGCCTCAACCTGGAACGCAAGTGGAACCTCTTTACACCAGGGTCTTGTTGCCGATGCCTGCTCCTTGTCGCGAAAGCAAGCTTCATGATGATGTACAATAGAGTTGATAGACCCTCGTTGGAGTGGGACTGTTTCCGGCATCGGCCGCGGCCTCGGCGACTGGGTTGAAGCGCTTCCTGTTCTCTACGGCGTTTTAACGATAAAGCCCTTCGACGGGCCCGGTCTTCGGCCTCCTCGCGGTCCAGACGCTGCAACGTGCGGAGGATCTCGTCATGAGGACTCTGACCTCTCGCCGGCGTTGGACGGCTCTCTGAGGCATGGTCACAAGTAGATAAGGATGTGATGAGGAGGGAAGAGAAAGGGAAGAAACGATGCATGACTTTCGACCCCGCCATCGTAGGGATGGCGTCATGGCAAGGCAGCGATACCGGTTGGACCTAGGAACAACAAGAGACGGTGGCGTGGGCATTATGTACAGTATACCTACAGCATGCATGTATGTGGATTGATTTGGATTGTGGCTGGAGAGACACAGCTGTGGCGAACAGGAGACCGGCCCTTTCAGGGTCCGCCAATGCCTTGAGGAACGGGACTGGAGCATTCAGTTTGGGTTTCACACTGACAGGTCTGTTGAGAAGAAGATGCGGCTTGCTCTGATAGTGTGGCTGCTTGACGCCATCTTACCCCGCTACAACATGGTGGGTTGAGGGCGGGTAAGGACGCAATGGAAAAGGAAAGTCTAAGGAGCCAGCCTTCATCTCGAATGGCGAAGGAGTCCGAACCGTTCGTGAATCATGCAGTGAAGTGGAACAATTTGTCAAGAATCGACCCAATGCCTCCGATTGATTATTCAAGGTGGGACAACATCGACACCGATTCGGAGCCAGAGGCATCGCCCCAGCAAGCGCCAGCGGCAACACCCACCCCGCCGCCCACGCATGCCTCCCCGGCGTTGGGTACATCAGGTTTGAGGGAAATGCACAGCAACTCAGGGCAAGTTGAAGCTGTCATTGTCCGATGCGAGGCCGAGAAACGCAAGTTTCCCTTTGGTCTGCCACTGCAATCCCTGCGAATCATGATGTGTTTTCGCAGTCGGTGCCCTCCGTCCCAGCGCTCATCGAGGTCCCGCTGGTCCTCTATCGGACGGGGACTCAGTCCGCCAACGAGGCAGACCTCGACAACCAGATTGCTACGTACCTTAATATTGATGCCGACTCCGGGTTTGCACCTCCAGAATGGCAGTCACAAGTTGGCACCGTCGTGGTCGCGCGCAAGGACAGGAGGCCATTTTATCCGCAGCATCTTGAAGGCGTGTGGATGTTCTGCGACCACATCCTGGACCTGTTCGGGAGGAGACGGGCCGCCGAGATGGCTTTATAGCCGTCACGCGTTCGAGGAATGGTGGGTATTTATTGGAGCAAAGCGCATACGCCCTGGGAAGGGAGGGCGAGATCCAGACGACTGGGGTGCGGTCCGGTCACCTTATGAAGTGTAGGACGTTTACCTGCCGCGTTACGACGTGCAAAAGGTCAAACTATCAGGATGGTTAGTATACTACCACTACTTTTCGAAACCCTGGTCCTCGTATAACCGTCTCGTTTCTGCGGCCAAGTTCTTGAGTCTCTGCATTCCATCAATTATGGCCGGATCCAGCCCATTGCCAATGAAATCATGCTGTCTCACAGGACCAAGAAGCTTGATGCCCCGAAGCGAGGTGCACCTGGACAGTTGCACATAGAGGCTCGTAAAATCGCACCTGGAGGGTTCACCATTGGTCACACGATTTCCACGCAGCTCCAACAGTACTTCCACGAACGTTTTACCCTGGGCTTTGTAATCGGTGAGGACGAACGCTGGTACGACGGGCAATCCACGTCGCGTGCATCTTGCCGACAAGAATTTGAAGTGAGAGTTAGTCGAATCAAGTGTATGTGACATGGGGCGGATGAGTACCGTCCCCACCGGGAGGACGGTATCGCCAAGGCCTTCGTCTCCTCGGACTGCAGAAGAATGCCGAGCGGTGGCCCGAAGTGGATGGTCACGTCATCCGCCAAGTGGTATCCTGGGTGATTGGGATCGAGTATTACGTCCACGGCAGTAAAGTCGGCCCCATTCACAACTTTCAAGCCAGTGTAGATGTTCTTGTTCACAACCACAGGCATGCCCTGGGCGTAGAAGAAGACGCCGGGGACCTTGCAAGCGGAGTCGTCACCTTGTCCTATGGTTCGCGCTACGATGTTTGGAGAAAGCGTGCCGTTGCGCCAGGTGTGAGTCGAGACAAAGATCCGGATATGCCGCTTGTTGAAGCGCGCCCAGCCCACGACAGCTTCCATGTTGAGGGCCCAGCGGGTGCGGTTCAGTGGCGTTATAGCACGCAAACCATCGTGGAAGGTGATTTGGGAGCGTCCTACAATGTTTTCGTTGAGCAAGTCGAGGTCTTGCTGCGTCTGGCGCCCGTTACGAACTCGATCCAGGAGTGCGCGAAGTTGGGGATCGTTGCGTGCCCGGAGTTGGTCTTCGAGGAGCACAACGGTTTTGAACAGATGCCACAATCTGCAGCCGCTGTGGTGAGAGATGGTCGCTTGTCGCAGGGGGGTCTGTGTTCGGTCCGGCGGTCTGTTGATCAGGAGGCTTGTTTCCGCACGGGGCGAACTGGTAGAAGTCTCCCATCAGTAGAACGACAGGCATCCCACCAAACGGCTCGTCTGGACAGTCACGGAGTGCCTGCAGGTGGCGACTGACGTTGTGCAGAGTGGCTCCTCCCAGCATACTGACCTCGTCAATCACGAGTACCAGCTTCTGTTTCCATTGTTGACTTGATATGAGACATGGACCAAGACATGTTTAGGCAGCAGTTACAAGTGGTGAGTCACTGGATAGTGGCACGGACGTGCCACTATGTATATATGTATGTTGAGAGCTGTCAGACAGAATTGAATAGAAGTAAGTTCAATCGCAACATCCATATCCATTTCTTCGCCTCCGAAAAGGGGAGGCGGCTTGTTTGGATCGCGATGGGAATCTAACCCACAGGCCGAGTGGATCGTCGTGCCGCCAATCTGGGCCGCCGAACTGCCCGATGTGCCGGTTATCTGCAGAAGATGTGGTTGGTTCCTCGCCGCGAACACGTCCTTTAGGGCATCGATAATCCTCGACTTTCCTGTGCCACCCGGCCCGCCGGTATATTGAAGATGTTGACCGGCTGAGTCCTGATGAGCGGTATACCTGTCCAAAAATGCGCAAACAAGTTGAAGGGCCACGGTTTGTAGATAGTTCAGTGTGAAGGTGGCTGCAGCGGTGTGTCCCATCTCCGCGAAGCTAGTCACCGGACTGACGTCGACAAGCATTCGAGGCCCTTGTTGATTGAGGTCACTTCCCGGGTGCGCAATGGTGGTTTCCGTATCGCCGTAGCGAGCTCAGTGATCGGAATGGTCCGGTATGGTATGGTATGACCTCTATACCATACCATACCACCTGCTGATATCCTTACCGGTATGGCTTACCGGTAATACCAGTAATCCCGCCAAGACCGCTCAGAATGAGGCGGGTTGCAAAAATAGGAAATGTATTGGCTACTAGCTGTCAACTTGATCGCTTATTCGCTTTCATTCTCGCTATCCCCGCTATCTTCGCTATCCTCAGCCCGAGGCTTCCCATACCAGGCACGTAGACACTCACAAGCCTCTATGATATCTGCCTTAAGCCTACCTCGACGATCAACTATACCAAGCTTTGCGCTACTAAACAGCCGTTCGCACTCATATGACATTGGGGAAACCGCAAATAGATCCAGAGCGAAGCGGGCGAGGTCTCTTTGCGAGTCATAACGGATAGCCAATAGGCGATGGCCTCATCGCAACCTGCCTCCTCGTCATGCAGCCGGTCGGTCGAAATATACTGCTCATACAGATCGGTGGCAGCAGCCGGGCCGTCTATGCGAATGCGCTTATGTTCCTCTGCCGATCGAATGCTGGGTCTGGATCCTTGTCCTTCCTGACTGGAGGTGGTAGCGCCTCAACAGGGTACTTTCCTTATACTCTGTCTCCCAGAGCTGCTTCACCGCCAGCTGTGCGCTTTCATACCACTTCTGTCTTCCTTCGTCGCCCTGAAGAACCCATTCTTGCCTGAACCATGCCCACTTTCGATACGGATTGAGTACTTGAGCTGCGTAATACGCTGGCGGAAGATCAGTATCTTCAGGAAATCGATGTTGCCAATTCCGTTGTCGGTTGCTGTAATACTCCTCGCACTTTGACCACGCAGCATCTGCACAACCTTGGAGATACCTCCACGTGAAGTTGTCGTCGTCGTCTTCCTCGTGAATGTCATGGTAGTGATCCTTCTGTGAGGGAACGATCATGTGACTTTCATACTTTATGAAATGTCTCACTTTGATTCATGTAAATAGCGAAAGTCAGAGTCTTCCTTAGGAACCTCCTTCTCTCTTCGTAGACAATCACTTTACCCAAGTCGCACCCGACCTTGTTCGTGCACTTGTACCGTCACACCTTCGTCTCGTTGATCTCGCGGAGAAGACAGTCCAAAGTCGAAAACCAGTCAGCGAGGGATGTCTTGTTTCCTTCAGCAAGCATAGTTGCCGCGAAGAAGTCTTTTAGTGCGAGCTCGATCTTTTCAAGCTCGAACCAGTGCTGTCCATCTAGTTTGAAGTTCGAAATCCCTTGAGACCCTCTCCTGGTACATGACGAGCTGAGAAGATTTCCAAACGTTCTCGAACATTTAACGCTCGTGTGATCGAATGAAACCACGAATTCCAGCGTGTGGAGTTGTTCTGGATAAGCTCGAGCCCATCGAATTCGGAGAGATGGCCGCCGATAATAATTGCTGCAAACTCCTCCCGCCTTTGAGGAGTAAGCCGGATGTACCGCACAAGGTTATGGAGCCGGCCTAAACATCCAAACTTCTTCCACAGCTCCTCTACCTTCACGTAATCTCCGCGCTGGTGGTGCTTTTCAAGCTTCGCCAAATGCTTCTCACAATTTCGACCCATGAGAAACGCCTGGCAGCAGAGGTTGACAATGTGACCCAAGCAGCGCAGTCGGCGATGGCGACGCTGTTGCGGCTTCATCCATGGGCAGAGCTCCTTGAGTATAAACTCAACAGCGGTATCATTGGATGAAGCATTGTCCAGCATGAAGTATCCAATCTGATCTCCGCCAATGTCATATTCCGTCAATAATTCGAGAACGGTCGACCCAAGATTCTCGCCACTGTGCTCGCCATGAACGCGTCGCATGCCCAGGACGGTACTTCGTCGCTTGCCGGTGGCGTCAATCCACATGGCGACGACACCCAGGATTGCGTACGGGTTTGGCGAGGTCCAGAGGTCGAAGGAGATGGAGATTCTACCGCGACCGCTGGAGGTCCTCTTTCAGCTGTTGCTTCTTCGACAGGAACGCATCCATAACCCAACCTCGAATTGTTTTCGCAGCCTTTGGGAGGTGATTAAGTAGAGCAGGGTTCAGAAAGAAGAGTAGCTCTCGGAAGTACTGGTTCTCCAACTGGAAGAAAGCAATATGGCAGTACACAACCCAACGAATCAAAAGCTCTTTGAACCTCTCAACGGTATCTTTCCAGAAAAAATTGCTACTAGCAGCTGCGCTTTTCTGTTGCTCCAATACAGACGCCCGTGTCGCACCGCGTTTCCTCAGGCCGCTTTGTGGATCAATCTGGTGCCTCTGTTCGAGATGATTTCTCACTCCCGACGTGCCATTGATCACAAATAACTCTTGCTTATACTTTCCGATCGCACATTCGTGACAGTAGTATACCTCTTTCTTGTCACTGTCTCGGATGTAATGAAGACCGTACTTCCACACATGCGAACGAGCCGAGACGAGCTGCCTTCTTCGTCGTCGTCGCGCGACGCAGGTACGTGACATGGTCTTGTACGAATTCGTCCGGAGGCTCAGGATAACGGACAGAATTAGACGATGGCGTCGTAGCGGAAAAGTGTGGCGCGGGACACGATGCAGGAGATCTGGAGCGGATTGATGCTGAACTTGTCGTAAACGAAGATGGCGAGGTTGGCGCTGGAGATTCCATGATCATGACATACACCAGTTAAGGTATGGTCACTATGGTGGCTTTCGATCATTCGATCTTGGTCCATCGTCCAACTAGCCTAACGTAAAAATTTTCGGGCTCCAACATCACGGAAGTAATTCGATTGAAAGGATCATTTAAGCTTTCCTGTCCCTGAAAGGATCATTTAAGCTTTTCCTGTCCCTCCGACGACGCGATTGACAAGTCTGGCCAGTGATACGTTAGGTCATGCTCCGTCCTACATGGAAGAACTCATAAAACTGGGTGCAATGAAGTACTTTCTAATACGCACTAACACTAGCCTTACCTTCGTGCCTTCCTGGGATAGCTACCCGGCAGCAAAGACGAAAAGCATCCGTTCGGTGCCGGATCGACCTGACCAAGGTAGCCAGGTCGATAACTTATTGTGAGGATGATGGTATTCATGATTGAATGGAGTAGATAAACTGGCAGAAAACTGGTCAATAAGCCCTACAGATGACACTGGAATCATCGCCGCTCGGATTCTGCCTGGTCATTCTCCGCAGTGAGCCTCTTACCTGAGCTTATTTTTAGCGTTACTGGTATGATTCGGTATACCGGTAATACCATGGTATCAAGTTTTGTCAAACCATACCAGGTCTTGGCGGTATTTACCATACCAATACCAACTCATACCGGACCATTCCGATCACTGAGCGAGCTAGGGTATCGTCGATGTCGGCGCCGTCCGTGGAAAGGATGGTCCCCTGAGAACCACCCTCATGTCGTCTAGCATCCGAAGATGCAATAGTTGTTGGGCCTTGGCCGCTGCCTGGACATCGTCTCGAGATATTGAAATTGGCACAAGGCGTCACCTTGATCATGGGGTATATTCCGGTACAAATCCTCCTGACGTTGCACAAAAGGTTGCTCCTCTTCAGCCGGGTTCTCTTCGCACAGATCGCGTATTAAACCTCCAAGGACGGTGAGTCTTTCGTGGCGTCTGTATCCTGCACGGCATTTCGCAAAATCTGGAGTAGAGCTTTGTAGGCCTGACGATGAGCCATCGCTGGAGGCTCCTCTTCGCAGCGGCCAGCGTCAAGTGGGTACTCGACGTCAATTGTGTCGTCGCCCTCCGATCGACTGGCCCAGAGCTTCGCGTCCTTGCGCGCATCCTCGGCAGACTTTCTCAAAAGACAAATATTGGAGACATGGAAACGGAGGCGAGGACAAAGCCCCGCTCGATGCCTCGTCCATATGCTGGTTATATCGCCTTGGCTCTCAGAAATGAAGTTTTCCCAAGGGACGAATAACGCCAAATGTAGGACAGAATTTCTGCACAGGTAGTCAGACGGAGCCAAAAATGGTGCCGGGGGGTTAGAGCGTACCGCTTAACATACACTGGGTGATCGTCCTCATGGTCGTCGCTGATGTATCCTTGGAAGATCGGGACGGCGTACTGGTCGGGCCGTCGAAGCTTTTGCATCCAGCCGTCACGGTCGGAGCCCTGCCCATCGAGAAAAATGCGAGACTCATCTTCACTCGGACCATTTCGACGCACCAAGTGAACCATTGACATGTAGTCATACAGGCATAAGTCTTGTAGAACATGACCGCGGTAGGCGTACACATCTAGGCATAGAAGGGTTCGCCCTCCTGCCTCAGAGGATGGTCTCCGGGGCTGTTCGGCGTCCGTGAGCTCGCCGGCCTGATGGCGGAGATGCGCCCATAGCCGAAAGATTGTCCAGTAGAGCGCCGTCAGGTTCAGGAAAGACCAATGCGGCACGTTGGTAAAGTCGGTGTCATATCCAAGTAGATGGTAACAGACCTCCACAGCCGAGAGTTGTCGCTCGGAGAAGATCCGATTTGCCGTTCTCATCAGGAACTGACGGCTTTCATTCAAAACTACCTGCTGCCTGTCGTCGGGCAGGGTGGGACCTGGCGTGCGAAGCCTCGTACCACCGGCTTCGCGAAGTTGGCGGGCAACCTCGGCGGCAAGAGCAATGCGTTTCCACATCGGCGTTTCCAGTTTGGTGGCGTAGTTCGTGATGTAGTACACCATGGCCAGGCCCTTGGTTTTGGTCAAGATCATCGAGACGTCGTGATTATGGCGAAGGCCGACCGCCAATGACTTGTTATACCGATTGACGAGTGGGTGGTTGCGCCGGATCTGAAGCAGGCCGTCCTCTGTGAACCCCGTCTCGTCGACGATTTTCCAAGGTGCTTTGAAGCGGCAGGCTGTCCGTCTCTGTGGATCTGTACCTGTTCGACGATCCCTTGAGAGAATACTTGAGGCAGGTGTACGTGTGGAGTGCACTGGCAACAGTACGCGATGAAGTTGGATTCGTCGTCGAAGGCCGCAGTGAGAGCCGAGGTGCTAGCCATGACCTCCTCCACGGGGTGGATGGGCTTCTCTCCTGTCGCACGGCTTTCCCGGCATCTTCATCTAGACACTCGCGAAAGACGGAGTCTACGTATCGGATCACCTGGGCACGATATGCTTCTTCCGCGGGATTGGCCATGTCGCCTATCAGGTTCGGTAACCGCATGTTGCCGTCCAGCCAGAGAAGTCCATGCAAGTGGAGGCTGCCTCGCTCGTTCGTTTCCACCGTGGCGTAGTAGTGGCTAATCTTCCCGAATACCGACTCCTGGCCCGCATTGACGTACTTTTCAAAGAATAAGGATACTTCCCGATGGAAGAAGATGGCCGAGCTAACTGGATCCATGGTGCTGAGGGCGATTCTGTCGTACTTTTCATGGAGATCGGCCAAAAGTTCCTTTGCAGACTCATAATCGTGGAGCCTATGAATGGCAAGCTTCATCTTTACCGGATTATTAATGTCGTTAGGACTGATAGTAATCCAGATTGCAGGCATACCGGCGCGGATGTCAGAGCTTGTATCTTCCTCCGCATAAGTAAACGGGATTCGTTCGAGAGCGGCTGTGCATAGCCAAAGATCGACAGCTCGCGAAGCAAGACCGATATGTCGGGGTCCGACGTTGTCCTTGTCTCCGCATCTCCGCCTCGGCCCTCTTCAGCCGGTCCTCGGTCAAGTTCGCATAGGCTTGCTCAAGTCTGTGGAAGGAATCTTTAGCGACACGGACCATGCTGATGCGGCGGTTGGAGGAGCGAAGGAGGTGTTGAATACCAAGAAACAAAAGACAGGATGGGCGGCGAATCGGCCACCATGCCGTTGCAATACGTATCTGGTCCAGTACTGGAGAGAGTGATTCGGACGATGGTCGGGAGTGTCGCTTTGTCGGCTATGACTCGAGTCGCCCTTCGATTTCGGGCCGCCCTTCCCACGGAAAAAGCTTCGGAAATGTTCGAGGAAGAAATCTTCGTGCAGGTTGTCTGCAAAATCCGCACCACGCTCCACTCGGACGAACGGCTGGTCTCCCGTAGTCTGGACCTGCATAACGCACGGCACAGAGATGCCATGTCGGTCCGGATTGGTGTTGACGATGTCGGCCAGAAACGACAGTTTATCGGTCTCCGCGAAGGCAGCCGGTCCATCGAGAGGAAACATGCCGGACGTCGACGTCTCACAGACGGTGTCAACTTCCAGGCCGACGGCAGCCGAGTCGGGGACAGGAGTCGCCGGGTCACCAGGGAAGGGTTGAGTCTGGTCAGTCGACAGAGTACGGTCGAAATCGCAAGATTCAGCGTCGAAAGGAGGATCGATCGAGTTCACGAGATCATCGATACTTCTGAAGCTACTTTCCTCCAAGCCTCGATCAGTATCCGGGACTATGTGGTCCGTTTGTGTCTTCTCAACGGTCGACGGTTCCTCTCTTCGCATGCGGTCCATGATGAGAGTCGGAACACTGGAGCCGTCGGCATACTGCCAGCCGTCTATCTCTGCTTGGTTGATCGCGATATCCTCGTAAAGCGGGTTGTTCCTCTGCAGCCATGCCAGGGCAGCTGCCACTCGAGATCTGCGCACCTGAAGCAGGTGTCTGACGTCTGCGGAGCCAGGCTTAGCCGAACCGCTCCAAGAGACGTGGATGTTCTTAATGGCCTATAGTAAGGGATAGGGAAGAACCATGGTACAAGATCGTCCACCTTGTTCGGAAAGACGACGATATGTCCTTTCACGTGCTTGCGGTAGCTAATTCCCGAACAGGTCTTGTTGTCGACTGTGAACTTGGTGATATAGCCAAAGGGCGCATGCAAGGCAATGAGTCTCTCCTCAACGGGAGAGAGGTCATCAAGCTCGCCAGGGTACCGATGTTCGCAACCGATGGCCATATTGTTGACCGAGCAGGCTTTGGCAGCCGTCCACCGTCGAAGCTGGCGCGACACTCGCGGCATACGTCAACTCCGCGCGCTCGTGCGGCGGAAGGCAAGCGTCACACTTCTGGATGGTCCTGGTCGCCTGCAGCAGGGAGGGTGACAATCGACTCCTCCACTGCATGGTTGAGAGCTCGCAAGGTGGGGCCTTTCTAGCAGAAGACGCAGTGAGAAATCGGCAACGTCCTCTCATCCGTAAACGCCTGGTAGAACGATCTAGGAGCTGCTACCTGAAGGGCAAGTGGAACTTCGTTGCACCAGGATCTTGTTGACGATGCCTGCTCTTTAGAGCGGAAACAGGCGTCATAGTGATGTAAGGTAGACTTGACAGAGTCTCGCTGGAGTTGAACGGTTTCTCGCGTAGGCCCGGGCCTCGTGGGGAAGCGCCCCGTCCGCGTGAGCGATGAAGGGCGAAGCGATTGTTCCGCTCTGGATCGACTCGGGGATGGAGAGGCTGGCGTCTGCATGTGACTTTTAAAGGAGCGCTTTGGCTGCGTGGGGGGTGGAGTGGGAGGTGTCTCCTCTTCTCTGTGTCGTTTCGGTGATGGAGCGGCCGGCGGCTGCGTGTGTCTTTTGGAGGAGCGCCTTAGCTGCGTGGGTGGTGGAGTGGGGGGTGCTTGCCCCTCTCTAGGTCGTCTCGGTGATGCAGTCGCTGGCGGCTGCGTGTGTCTTGTAGGGAAGTGTTTTGGCTGCGTTGGGGTGGAGTGGAGGCGCTTGCTCTTCTCGAGGTCGTCTCGGGATGGGTTGTTCGGCTGCTGCGTGTGTGCGGTATATTGGAATTGAGCTTCACGGTGGCGGCTTCGTTCTTCAGCGCGCTGGCGGTCCATATCGTGCAAGACGCGGAGGATCTCGTCGTGGGAACCCTAATAAGCGGTGAAGGTCGCTGATAGGAACGGCGCTGCTGGGATCTCTGCGATTCAAGATCACCCAAAGTGCGGCGAACCTCCTCAGGTGAGATTTTGACTGGATGTTCTCGCGGCATGGTGCACGGGGATGGCTGTGAACAATTGCTACGAGAAAGGAGAGTTGGCGGAGCGATTAGGTCAAGGTCAAGACCTTTGCCCCGCCGGCCGGGAGGCCCCTCCCGGGACCCCGGGGAGTGGGCCCGGGCGGGCAACAGAACAGGAAGTTGGTGGGGACAGTACAGGTGGCGGTGAAGAGTGGCTGGAGGGCACGGAGCGGCATGGAGACCGGCCTTCCAGGGTCCGCCAATGCTTGAGGAACAGGAGAGACCGGCCCCTTCCAGGGTCCGCCAATGCCTTGAGGAACGGGACGAGAGTTGGGCGTAGTCAAAGCGCGAGCATTCGGGTTGGTTTTGGAAAGGCACAACAAGTCTGGTGGTAGTGCGGCTGCAGCACCTTACCCGTTTAAGCCTAAGCTAGCCCTCCTGCGGCATAAAATGAGCTTCAATTATGCGGTCTTTTCAGAAAGCAATTCTTCAACGATTTGGTCATCGGAATTAGGTCATCATGGCCCTCGAGTGCAATAGCTGCAAGAAGTCGCCGCCTGAAGTCGCCCTCAAGAGGTGCGCGAAATGTTCCACAACGCCGTACTGCTCCAGGGATTGCCAGAAGGCAGACTGGAAGGTCCATAAGAAGGTTTGTGGCAAACAGGCCGACGCCACGACATCGTTTCAAGATGGGCCTACAACGGCAAAGTTATCGCCTCCGAGGGGTTGGAACAGGGCGTCATCCGCCCCTTCACGCGTCTTGAAAATCGCACTTGGCTGCATGATCGATCGGAAAGAGATGTCTACGGGCTGCTGATCGACGCCTACCGACTGCGCGTTGAGGATATGTACAACATTGAAGGCGAAGCAGACGCGGATAGCATATATGGTGGTGCCGCCAATGGGCTGCGTGGCTTAAGCGCTTCCTGGAGCGCGTCGAGCGTTGTCCGCGTTACTGCCGCCGTGGTGGGATGCAAAGAAGAAGAAAGTGCGAGACACTCGGTATGACCCCATCGCAATGGCACGACCTACGAAGCGCGGTGGAAAAGAGCGACATCATCGAGCATTATGGGGATTCCCGATTCCCGATGCAGCTTCGGATGTTTGCTGAGTCCGTGTACGGTCGAGCTCCGGGCGGGACAAGCGGGACGGGGATGAGGCAAATGATGGCCGCGATGGAGCAGGGTAAAGCAGAGGGGATGAAGTCGCATATGATGGACATGTCAGCAGCCATGCTTGGTCGGCGGTGAAGGGATAGCTATTTTTCGAAACTATGGTCCTCGTATAACCGTCTCGTTTCTGCGGCCAAGTTCTTGAGTCTCTGCATTCCATCAAGTATGGCCTGATCCAGCCCATTGCCAATGAAATCATGGTACCTCACGGGACCAAGAAGCTTGATGCCCCGAAGCGAGGTGCACCTGGACAGTTGGACGTAGAGGCTCGTAAAATCGCACTTGGAGGGTTCACCATTGATCACACGATTTCCACGCAGCTCCAACAGTACTTCGACGAACGTTTTACCCTGGGCTTTGTAATCAGTGAGAACGAACGCTGGTACAACGGGCAGTCCACGTCGCGTGCATCTTGCGGACAAGAACTTGAAGTGAGTTAGTCGAGTCAAGTATATGTGACATGGGGCGGATGAGTACCGTCCCCACAGGGAGGACGGTATCGCCAAGGCTTTCGTCTCCTCGGACTGCAGAAGAATGCCGAGTGGTGGCCCGAAGTGGATGGTCGTCATCGGCCAAGCAGTATCCCGGGTGATTGGGATCGATTATCACGTCCACGGCGGTAAAGTCGGCCCCATTCACAACCTTCAGGCCAGTGTAGATGTTCTTGTTCACAACCACGGGCATGCCCTGGGCGTAGAAGAAGACGCCGGGGACTTTGCAGGCAGAGTCGTCGCCTTGTCCGACGGTTCGCGCTACGATGTCTGGAGAAAGCGCGCCGCTACGCCAGGTGTGAGTCGAGACAAAGATACGGATGTGCCGCTTGTTGAAGCGCGCCCAGCCCACAACAGCTTCGTTGAGGGCCCACCGGGTGCGGTTCAGCGGCGTTATAGCGCGCAAACCATCGTGGAAGGTGATTTGCGAGCGTCCTACAATGTTGGCGTTGAGCAAGCTCAGATCTTGATGGGTCTGGCGCCCGTTACGAACTCGATCCAGGAGTGCACGGGTTGGGGATCGTTGCGTGCGCGGACTTGGTCTTCGAGGAGCACCACGGTTTTGAACAGATGCCACAATCTGCAGCCGCTGTGGTGAGAGATGGTCGCCTGTCGCAGGGGTCTCTGTTCGGTCCGGCGGTCTGATGATCAGTAGGCTTGTTTCCCGCACGGGGGCGAACTGGTAGAAGTCTCCCATCAGTAGGACGACGGGCATGCCGCCAAACGGTTCGTCCGGACAGTCACGGAGTGCCTGCAGGTGACGACTGACGTTGTGCAGAGTGGCTCCTCCCAGCATGCTGACCTCGTCAATCACGAGTACAGCTTCTGTTTCAGATCCACTTCTTCGCCTCCGAGAAGGGGAGGCGGTTTGTTTGGATCGCGATGGGAATCTAACCCACAGGCCGAGTGGATGGTCGTGCCGCCAATATGGGCCGCCGAACTGCCCGACGTGCCGGTTATCTGCAGAAGATGCGGCTGGTTCCTCGCCGCGAACACGCCCTTCAGGGCATCGATAATCCTCGACTTTCCCGTGCCACCTGGCCGCCGGTGTATTGAAGATGCTGACCGGCTGAGTCCGGGTTGGCAGTATACTGTCCAGAAACAGGCAAACGAGTTGAAGGGCCATGGTCTGTAGATAGTTCAGTGTAAAGCTGGCCGCGGCGGTGTGTCCAATCTCCGCGAAGCTAGTTGCCGGACTGACGTCGACAAGCATCCGAGGCCCTTGTTCATTGAGTCACTGCCCGGGAGCGCAGCGGCGGACTCCATATCGCCGTAGCGAGCAAGGGTATCGTCAATGTCGGCGCCATTCGTGGATAGTACGGTGCCCTGAGAACCACCCTCAATATCGTCCAGCATCCGAAGATGCAATAGTTGTTGGGCCTTGGCTGCTTGGACATCGTCTCGAGATATGGGGAATTGACACAAGGCGTCACCTTGATCATCGGGCATATTCCGGTACAGATCCTCTTGACGTTGGACGAAAGGTTGCTCTTCTTCAGCCGGGTTCTCTTCGCACAGATCGTGTATTAGACCTCCAAGGACGGGTGAGTCTTTTGTGGCGTCCGTATCCTGCACGGCATTTCGCAAAATCTGGAGCAGAGCTTTGTAGGCCTGACGATGAGCCAGCGCTGGAGGCTCTTCTTCATCGCGGCCGTCGTCAAGTGGGTACTCGACGTCAATTGTGTCGTCGCCCTCCGACCGACTGGCCCAGAGCTTCGCGTCCTTGCGCGTCTTCGGCAGATTTTCTCAAAAGACCAATGTTGGAGACATGGAAACGAGGCGGGGACAAAGCCCCGATCGATGCGTCGTCCATATGTCGGTTATGTCGCCTTGGCTCTCAGAAATAAACTTCTCCCAAGGGACGAATAGCGCCAAGTGTAGGACCGAATTTCTGCACGGCTATCAGATAGAGCCAAAACGGTGCCGGGGTTTAGAGCGTACCGCTTAATATAGACTGGGTGATCGTCCTCATGGTCGTCGCTGATGTATCCTTGGAAGATCGGGATGGCGTACTGGTCGGGCCGTCGAAGCTTTTGGATCCAGTCGTCACAGTCGGAATCCTGGCCATCGAGAAAAATATGAGAGTCGTCTTCACTCCGACCTTTTCGACGCACCAAATGAATCATTGACATGTAGTCATACAGGCATAAGTCTCGTAGAACATGGCCCCACGCATACGCGTCTAGGTATAGAAGGGTTCGCCCTCCTTGCCTCAGACGGATTGTCTCCGCGGGCTGTTCAGCGTCCGTCAGCTCGCCGGCCTGATGGCGGAGATGTGACCATAGCCGAAAGATTGCCCAATAGAGCGCCGTCAGGTTCAGGAAAGACCAATGCGGCACGTTGGTAAAGTCGGTATCATATCCAAGGAGGTGGTAACAGACCTCTACGGCCGAGAGTTGTCGCTCGGAGAAGATCCGATTTGCCGTTCTCATCAGGAATTGACGGCTCGTTCAACACTGCCTGCTGCCTGTTGTCGGGCAGGGCGGGATCTGGTGCGCGAGACGGACGACCGGCTTCGCGGAGTTGGCGGGCAACCTCGGTGGCGAGAGCAATGCGCCTCCACATCGGCGTATCCAGTTTGGTGGCGTAGTTCGTGATGTAGTACACCATGGCCAGGCCCTTGGTTTTGGTCAAGATCATCGAGACGTCGTGATTGTGGCGAAGGCCGACCGCCAATGACTTGTTATACCGGTTGACGAGCGGGTGATTGCGCCGGATCTGAAGCAGACCATCCTCTGTGAACCCTGTCTCCTCGACGATCTTCCACGGTGCCTTGAAGCGGCAGGCTGTCCGTCTCTGTTGATCTGCCCCCGTTCGATGACACCTTCAGAGAATACTTGAGGCAGGTGTACGTGGGAGTGCGCTTGGCAACAGTACGCGATGAAGTTGGATTCGTCTTCGAAGGCCGCAGTGAGAGCCGAGGTGCTGGTCATGACCTCCTCCACGGGATCGATGGGCTTCCTCTGTTGTCGCACGGCTTTTCCGGCATCTTCGTCTAAACACTCATGAAAGACAGAGTCCACATACCGGATCACCTGGGCACGGTATGCTTCTTCCGCGGATTGGCCATGTCGTCCATCAGGTTCGGTAACCGCATGTTGCCCTCCAGCCAGAGGAGTCCATGCAAGTGGAGGCTGCCTCGCTCATTCGTCTCCACCGTGGCGTAGTAGTGGCTAATCTTCCCAAGATCGATTCCCGGCCTGTATTCACGTATTTGTCAAAGAATAGGGATATTTCTCGGTGGAAGAAGATGGCCGAGCTGACCGGATCCATGGTGCTGAGGGCGATTCTGTCGTACTTTTCACGGAGATCGGCCAAAAGCTCCTTTGCAGAGTCATAATCGTGCAGCCTATGAATGGCAAGCTTCATCTTTATCGGATTATTAATGTCGTTGGGACTGATGGTAATCCAAACTGCAGGCATACCGGCCCAAATGTTAACAGCTTGTATCTTCCTCCGCATAAGCAAACGGGATTCGTTCGAGCGGCTGTGCGTGGCCAAAAATCGACAGCTCGCGAAGCAAGACCGATATGTCAGGGTCCGACGTGGTCCTTGTCTCCCGCATCTCCGCCTCGGCTCTCTTCAGTCGGTCCTCGTTCAAGTTCGCATACGCTTGCTCGAGCCTGTGGAAGGAATCTTTAGCGACACGGACCATGCTGATGCGGCGGTTAGAGGAGCGAAGGAGGGTGTTGAATACTAAGAAACAAAAGACAGGATGGGTGGCGAATCGGCCTCCATGCCGTTGCAATACGTATCTGGCCCAGTAGCTAAGCGAGTGATTCGGACGACGGTCGGCAGCGTCGCTTTGTCGGCTACGACTCGAGTCGCCCTTTGATTTCGGGCCCCCTTCCCCACGGAAAAAGCTTGGAAATGTTCGAGGAAGAAATCTTCGTGCAGGTTGTCTGCAAAGTCCGCACCACGTTCTACTCGGACAAACGGCTGATCTCCGTAGTTTGGACCTGCATAACGCATGGTATAGAGCGGCCACGTGGATCCGGATTGGCGTTGGCCATGCCCCACAAACGACAGCTTATCGGTATCCGCAAAGGCAGCCGGTCCATCAGAGGAACATGGCGGATGCAGACGTCTCACATATGGTTTCAACTTCTGGCCGATGGCAGCCGAGTCGGGGACAAGAGTCGCCAGCTCACCAGGAGAGGGTCTGCTCAGTCGATAGAGTACAGTCCAAGTCGCGAGACTCGTCGACGAAGGTGCCATCGATCGAGCTCACAAGTTCATCGATGCTTCTGAAACTGTTTCCTCAAGCCTCGATCAGTGTCCGGGACTATGTGGTCAGTTTGAGTCCTCTCAACGGTCGACGGTTCCTCTCTGCATGCGGTCCATGATGACGGTCGGAACAGTGGAGCCGTCGGCATACCGCCAGCCATCCATCTCTGCCTGGTCGATTGCGATATTCTCGTAAAGTGGGTTGTTCCTTTGCAGCCACGCCAGGGCGGCCGCCACTCGAGATTTGCGCAAGCAGGTGTCTGACGTCTGCGAGGCTGGGAGAAGCCAGCCGAACCGCTCCAAGAGACGTGGATATTCTCAATGGTCTGCAGGGATGGGGAGAAGAACGGTGGTAACAAGATCGTCCACCTTGTTCGGAAAGACGACGATATGTCCTTTCACGTGCTTGCGGTAGCTGATTCCCGAACAGGTCTTGTTGTCGACCGTGAACTTGGTGATATAGCCAAAGGGCGCATGCAGGGCAATGAGTCTCTCCTCAACGGAGAGAGGTCATCAAGCTCGCCAGGTACCGATGTTCGCAACCGATGGCCATATTGTTGACCGAGCAGGCTTTGGGCAGCCGTCCACCGTCGAAGCTGGCGCGACACTCGCGGCATACGTCAACTCCCGCGCGCTCGTGCGGCGGAAGGCAAGCGCCACACTTCTGGATGGTCCGGGTCGCCTGCAGCAGGGGCGACAATCGACCCCTCCACTGCATGGTTGAGAGCTCGCAAGGTGGGGTCTTTCTATAGCAGAAGACGCAGTGAGAAATGGGCAACGTCCTCTCGTCCGTAAACGCCTGGTAGAACGATCTAGGAGCTGCTACAGGGGCACGTGGAACTTCGTTGCACCAGGATCTTGTTGACGATGCCTGCTCTGAGCGGAAACGGGCGTCATGGTGATGTAGCGCAGACTCGACAGAGTCTCGCTGGAGTTGAACGGTTTCTTGCGTAGGCCCGGGCCTCGTGGGAAGCGCCCCGTCCGTGGATGAAGGGCGAAGCGGTTGTTCCGCCCTGGATCGACTCGGTGATGGAGAGGCCGGCGTCTGCGTGTGTCTTTTGGAGGCGCGTTGGCTGCGTGGGGGTGGAGTGGGAGGTGTCTCCTCTTCTCTGTGTCGTTTCGGCGATGGAGCGGCCGGCGGCTGCGCGTGTCTTTGGAGGGCGCCTTAGCCGCGTGGGAGGTGGAGTGGAGGGTGATAGCCCCTCTCTGGTCGTCTCGGTGATGCAGTCGCTGGCAGCTGCGTTTGTCTTCTAGGGAGTGTTTTGGCTGCGTTGGAGGTGGAGTGGAGGCGCTTGCTCTTCTCAGGGTCGTCTCGGGATGGGTTGTTCGGCTGTTGCGTGTGTGCGGTATATGGAATTGAGCTTCACGGCGGCGGGATCGTTCTTCGGCGCGCTGGCGGTCCATATCGTGCAAGACGCGGAGGATCTCGTCGTGGGGAACCCTGATAAGCGGTGAAGGTCGTTGATAGGAACGGCGCTGCTGGGATCTCTGCGATTCAAGATCACCCAAAGTGCGGCGAACCTCCTCGCGAGACCGTGACGGGGTGTTCTCGTGGCATGGTGCACGGTGATGGCTGTGAACAATCGGTACGAGAGGAGAGTTGGCCCCGGAGAGTGGGACCGGGGCGGGAGCAGGACAGGAACGGGCAGCAGGAACAGGAAGGTTGGTGGGGAAAAGAACAGGTGGCGGTGAAGAGTGGCTGGTGGGCACGGAGCGGCATGCGGTCCGTGCGTGGGGTAGAGGATGTGGAGGTGTGGCGAAGGACGCGGAAGGAAGAACCTTTCGTTCCTCAAGGCATACGGAGGGCGGAAGAAGGATCCTTTCGTCTCTTCGTTCCTCAAGGCATTGCGTTGCCGCCTTGTGCATTTGCCGGAGGGTGACTGGCGTGCCGAACGGTGAAGACAGGAGGGCCGGATCCAATTCAGGGGTAGGTGTACGAGCTTTGCGTGCTTTCATGACGGCCAGGACCACCTCTTGGTTGAATGGCACTATTCCAGTCTTCGAAACGCAGAAATGATGGTCAATTGACGAAGGCTTCCGGACGTCCTGAATGAAGTCCAGAACTCCAATTTGGTGATATCTGTGCAGCCGTCACGAACCACTAGGTCTACCGCCTTTGCGTGATAATGCTTGAGCGGCTGAAAGACTACCACATCCAGTGGTTGAAGAAGGTGTGTTAAATGAGGAGGTAAAGAGAAGGGTATAATACCGCGGCGCCCACAGTACTCGATAAACGGGTATGGTGTGAACCGAATCCATCGAGTAGAAGTAGCCGCTTGTTGCCTTTGGTCTTGTTTTCGTGTGCTCGTCGAATGATAGATCCTCCAAGCAGATCTCGTCGTTACTATACCCAGTTGGTGACATCGCAATGCGTGTGTCTGGGTAGTGCTTCATGACTTCGTACCATCGAGCGATGTTGGATACCCAGAGCACCAAGAAGGCTGGTAAGACTCGCCCACCGGCCGAGATGCACTCAATGGCCGTAGCGACTCCTGTTACCAGGAGTGCCGAAGTAATGGGCTTTCTTGCGCTTTGTGACGACCAATTGGTCTTTCCCAACCCCGATACGAAACCCTGTTTCGTCCATGTTCAGATGTCGTCTTCACAATGCCTTCGGATTGCATTACAGCGTGGAGTTTCTTGTACCTCAATGACTGGGATATCCTCGGCGGCTTGCGGTTCGATTCCAGCTGCTTTTGGCTCATTAGTAGATATTTATGACGCTTGACGAAGCGGTCGATCAATGTATGCCGGTGGGCGGGTTGCTCTGGCTAGCCTTGCCACCACCTTCCAGAATGCGGTTTGCAGCATCCACAGTGAACTCTCTGCGTACGGCTAAATTCACAGCGTCAAGGCGATCGATGGCGGCATAGTGCATCTTCTTCTGGCTTGCTCAATTTCGTATTTGTTGGTTGGCGGTCAGTCAAGCTGGTTCGGCCGTCCAGCGGCTTCGAGTCGGCCACGCGCTTTAGATGACGAGCAACCGTGGTCACCTTTGCAGTGGTTGATCAAGATACTTGCCTTTTGCACTGACCTCCGAAGCCTGGCCTCTTCGCGACGCATTTTGGTGGTGGTGTTCTGGCTGAAATGTAGAAGGTGTGAAAAAGTGGCTGCATTGATCTTGGTGTAGAATTGGCCCAGCAAATGTCTTCGCCACCAGTTGGCCCAAAAATCGCACAGCCCAAAAAATCCGGCACAGCAGGTCCTCAATTTGGGTTTCAAAATCAAGAAATTCACGCTTCGCTTCATGGTGCCGTCAATGCGACTTCAATAGCTAAAATACCATGTGATCAATAGCTGGATCACTAAAGACTGCAGTAACAACGAAAAGTGAAAAAATCACGTCTTTGGGCCTATTTAGGAGCTGCCGCCTTCCAGTCGAAGAGATAGGAGGGCCGTTTGTGAGTCCAAAT